GTAGGGGGGCAGGGAGCCGGGGGTCGGCGCGCAGGGCGCAGGGCGCAGGGCGCGGGCGGGAGAGCCACGCCGCCCTGGCCTCGGGTCGGCCCGGCCGACTGAAGTGCCTTCTCGGACTTGCCGTCGTGGGGAGTAGAGACCGGGACTGGGACACGCCCCCCTCCCGGGGCACTCAGGGAAGTTACCTAACCCGGGGGCGCGGAGCCCCGAATTTGGGGGGGTGACCTGACATAACCTGGCCCCAGGATGATTGTTCTCAGTGCGACAAGCACAGCCAGGGCAGACAGCTGTTTCTACTCTGGAAGACATCTCCATAAAAGCTCCCAATACATATCCCTGGGCAGCAGAACACCCCGATTATGGCATTTCTAAACAGCTAGAGAAGGTGAAACTGAGTGGTAACCTTTGCTTCTGCAACCATCATTTCTCCTGAAATCTCAAGGCCGGGATAAAACACCCCAGGAGAGCTCTGGACGCTGGGAAACTAGAGAGCTAGGTTGGGGGGGGGAGGCTGGGTGTTGGCTAGGAAGAAGAGAACCAGTCACCAGAGTTGGACGAGCTGGAGTCAAGGAGCTGGTGAAGGGTGCCCACTGGACTCCTATGCAGGTGTCTCAGGAATCTGGAAACTGGGGCTGCAGATACTTGCAATCCTTCCTTCAAGGAGCATTCACAGCTCTCCTCCCATCTCATTCCTGGCTAGGCCCTCCCCAGGATGCAATGGCGCAGCCCCCCCGGCTGAGCCGCTCTGGGGCGCCCGCACTTTGGGACCCAGCTTCCCCTGGCCCCACTTCGGGCCCCAGGCCTCGACTTTGGGAAGGTCAAGATGTACTGGCCAGATGGACCGATGGGCTGCTGTACTTGGGCACCATCAAGAAGGTAAGGCCTGCTCTGACGCCCCGCCTCCACGTTCCCCTCATCCACTCCGGACTCCACTGATCCTCTGTGCTCACCCATTCCAGGTGGACAGTGCTCGGGAGGTGTGTCTGGTCCAGTTTGAGGACGATTCCCAGTTTCTGGTTCTATGGAAAGACATTAGCCCTGGTGAGACTCTAGACCTGAGACTGCATCCCATGGAGAGCAGCGTGAGGGCAGAAGGGGGCTTCCAGGCAGGCCTCCTGACGCCGTGTTCCTCCACAGCCGCCCTCCCTGGGGAGGAACTCCTCTGCTGTGTCTGTCGCTCCGAGACTGTGGTCCCTGGGAACCGGCTGGTCAGCTGTGAGAAGTGTCGCCACGGTGAGAGGGCAGGACACCTGAACGTTCCAGTTTACCCCAAGCTTTCCAGGCTGCCTCTGACCCTTCCCTCCAGCACTGGTCTTTATGTCACCCGTCTTGGCCTAAGTCTCCAGGCCATTGCTCTGGCCAGCCTTCTCAACCACCTAGCTTTGCCCCCTTCCAGCATAGGGAGGGACAGCTATGGAATGGGCGTGCAGGCAGTGTGGTTCAGATACACCCTTCTAACCATGACTCTGGACAAGTCCCTAAACCTCGAGGAGTATCAGTCCCCTCCCTTATAAAGTAAGGATTGCGTACCCACGAGGTGGGTAAGACTGTTCCTATCCCATACCGAGCACAGGTCTGCAATACAGTAAGTGGTCTACTATCAACATTATCATTATTTAGCTTATCACCAGGACTGTCACGTCCCCAGGGCTCCAGCCCCTGGAGAAGGAGAGGGCGCATCCTGGGTCTGCCGCCAGTGTGTCTTTGCAATCGCCACTAAGGTAAACGCACCTGTTACCCCTTCCTGTGGAAGACCCCCCCCATCGGCCTCTCCCGAGTCCGCCTTCTCCCCACCCCTGAGGCCACCCACCTGTGTGTGCTGTCTCTGCAGAGGGGAGGCGCACTGAAGAAGGGCCCCTACGCCAGGGCCATGCTGGGTATGAAGCTCTCTCTGCCGTATGGACTAAAGGGGCTGGACTGGGACGCTGGACATCTGAGCAACAGGCAGCAGAGCTACTGTTACTGTGGTGGCCCTGGGGAGTAAGTACGGAGCAGGGGCTGGTTATGGAATGAGTGGCGTGGTGGCAGAGCCCAGGGACTCGAGGAGGAAGAACAGGGCGAGGGGGATGGGAAGTAGGTGATGAGCAGGGTTTGGGGCAGTGATGAGGCAGGAGGTGTCTGGAGGCCACTAGTCCTGTGTCCCCCCTCAGGTGGAACCTGAAAATGCTGCAGTGCCGGAGCTGCCTGCAGTGGTTCCATGAGGCCTGCACCCAGTGTCTGAGCAAGCCCCTCCTCTATGGGGACAGGTGAGACCTCTCCAGGAGCTGAGGGTGCCCTCTTGCTCTGGGCTCCACCTTCAGTCCCCCCAGTCCCTCCTCCACTCTAGTCTTCCCACCTCTGTAGCCGCCCCTCACCTGTCCACCCATCCTTGCCTGTGAGCTCTCCATGGCAGGGCCGTTTCCTCCCGTAAGGTGTGCTCTCTCCGTCTTGCCCGTGTCCAGGTTCTATGAGTTTGAATGCTGTGTGTGTCGGGGGGGCCCTGAGAAGGTCCGGCGGCTACAGCTTCGCTGGTGAGCTGAACTGGGCACCACTCCTTGCTCAGTGCGCCCAGTATTCGACCCTACCCTCCGCGCCCCAGCCTCCCACCTCTGAACTCCCCTGGCTCTCGTGCCCATGGCCTTGACACCTTGTTCTCCAGGGTGGACGTGGCCCATCTTGTCCTCTACCACCTCAGCGTTTGCTGTAAGAAGAAATACTTCGATTTTGACCGCGAGATCCTTCCCTTCACCTCTGAGAATTGGGACAGTCTGCTTCTGGGAGAGGTAAGGGCGTGCAGTGGGGCTTTGAGGGTTGAGTGGGTCAGGGACACAGGAGAGGAGGAGGGAATCAGCACTCCCCGGACCCTCTTCCTTCCCCTGCCCCAGCTTTCAGACACTCCCAAGGGAGAACGTTCTTCCAAGCTCCTCTCAGCTCTCAACAGCCACAAAGACCGGTGAGTTGGAGGGAGAAGGAGGCAAGGAGGCTGTTCAGAGATGGAGGTTTGCAAGTCTGGGAGGGGAGGGCGGTAACGACCTGGAGGACCGTCTCTGTTAAGACTGAGCAGTGGCACAGGGAGGGCCCTGGTCTGTGGTACTGACCCCGTACCCTTCCTCTCTGCCCCAGTTTCATTTCAGGAAGAGAGATTAAGAAGAGGAAATGTCTGTTTGGTCTCCATGCTCGGACTCCTCCACCTGTGGAGTCCCCTACTGGAGATGGAGCCCCCACCAGGTCACTGGTCCAGGGAGGATGGGGGGAAATTCTTAGGGTATCAGTTTGGGGGGAGTATATGTATAGAGATGGGGAGGTCTTTGGGGTGTCCGGGAGGGGGCTGGGGGGATAAGGAGGCCTCTTACAGCTTCCCTTCAGGGCAGGGCCCTGGGGGAGGGGTCTCACGTCCCCTGGGGAAGCGCCGGAGGCCGGAGCCAGAGCCCCTGAGGAAGAGGCAGAAGGGGAAGGCAGAGGAGCTGGGGCCACCCTCAGCAGTGCGCAATCGGCCCGAGCCCCAGGAGCAGAGGGAGCGGGCACGTCTGCACAGGGCACTGCAGGTACAGGGGCAAGGGGCATGCGAAGGCTAGATGGTGGGGTATGGGCAGGACTCAAGGATTAGCCCTCAGTCTGCCCCTTCTTCTAGGCCTCAGTGTCTCCACCACCACCCAGCCCTAACCAGAGTTACCAAGGCAGCAGCGGCTACAACTTCCGGCCCACAGATGCCCGCTGCCTGCCCAGGTCAGTGCTTCTCTGCCCTCCAACCAGATATGCTTCTAATAATTCACATCCTCTGGACTTGGCCCCCAGCATTTCCCTTCTGCTCCTTGGCTGTCTACTTGTCCTACAGACTTCTAGAACCAGCATCTGGCACCCAGTATTCTGGGGCTGGGGGTTCCCTGGGAGGTGGTGGTTGAGCTCTGTCCTTCCTACGGAGAGAGGGTCCTCTCCTCCTACTCCAGGTCCTGACTCTCCCCTCCCAACTCCAGCAGCCCCATCCGGATGTTCGCTTCCTTCCACCCTTCTGCCAGCACTGCAGGGACCTCTGGGGATGGCGAACCCCCAGACAGGTGAGCCTCTTCCTCTTCTAGTGATTCCTCCTTGCCCTCTGTTCTCGAGTCTCGGTCTCTGACCACTCCTCCACCCTGACCCACATGTGGCCCCGTCTCCAGTCAGTCTTTGTTCACATCTGTCTCGACTCACGATTGCCTTTTTTCCCAGGTCACCCCTGGAACTTCACATTGGTCTCCCCACGGACATCCCTAAAAGTGCACCCCACTCAATGACTGCCTCATCTTCCTCAGTCCCAGCCCCTTCCCAAGGTCTTCCTAGACGCCCAGCACCCCCTTCTCCCTTGTGCCGTAGTCTGTCTCCTGGGACTGGGGGAGGAGTCCGAGGTGGGGTTGGCTACTTGTCCCGAGGGGACCCTGTCCGGGTCCTTGCTCGGAGAGTACGGCCTGATGGCTCTGTGCAGTACCTGGTTGAGTGGGGAGGAGGGGGCATCTTCTGAATGGTCTGCCCCTGCCCACCTCTCCATTCATACACACCGGCACTTTCATACCCTGACCTCTGAGCTCACCTACAGCTGGGATGTACCTGGAGAGAGGGGGTGGTTCTCCCTACTGTCCAGGCTGGAATCCAGGTGGGGTTGGGGAAGAGGTTCTCTCTTCTCTGTCATACCCCCTTCATGATTCCTGACTCCCCCATCCTTCTTCCCATTTCCTTTGATGTTATTTTGTTACAGCTTTTAAAATATTTTTTAAAATTATTTAACCCCTGGGTGCACACACTGAGGGGGCGGGGGATGATAAGGGATCCTGGACTCTGTATGATTGAAATAAAGAGAAATAAACTCCTCTAGCAGTCCTGAGTCACCCTGAAAGGCAGAGCTAATACAGAGACCAGAACACTTCCCATCCTCTCCAGCCAAATCCACCCACGGGATAAGGAAAAAGGCACAAGGCAGAGAGAACCAAAGGGAGGATTTATTGGGGGCCCAGTCATCACCTGGCGGTCAGAAGGCATTGACGTCTTTCGGGGGATTGTGGGAGGAACAGGGCCTCATGGTAAGACGGTGCTGGAGTCAGAAACCGACTCTGTGACCTGGTGCACCCAGTGCAGGTACGGGGCATTCCCTTGTGCCACTGGTAATGCGATCACTTCGGCCACTTCATAAGGGTGCACAGAACTGCAAAGAAGACCGGGCAGGGGGTAATAATTCAAAGATCTACCCAAAGGGACCCACCCCCTCACAGACCAGCTCTAGTCTGCCCAGCAAGTCCCACCACACAATATACACTCTCGCCCCAGCCATCTCAAAGTTCTCACCGAACAAAATCTGTCAAAGCTGGGACCAAGGAACTTCGGGTTTTAATCATCTAAGGAGCAAAGACAAACGTGGTTGAATCGTGGTGGGACTGATTTCAGAACCTCAGATGAGGGACAGGAGTCAAAGGGATCAGGAAGTTGGGGAAGTTAATGGGTGGGAGAATGCTGCTCACCATCAGCACTTCACTGTCTTCCTCGATCTTTCCTTTCCACTCGTAACTGAAAATGTCAGAGAAGGGCGAGAGTCGGTATCGAGGAATTTCCCCCAGGAAGACTCCCAGTCAGCCCCTAGAGCTATTAGGTTAACCTCCCAATCCTATGACTCACATGGATGTAATCTGGGGGATGAGGTTGACGCAAGCTGCTAGGCGCTTCTCCACCACAGCTCTGAAAGTGAAGACAGCCGGGTTCAGAGCACCTGGTGACCCCAGCTTTGCACTGGCAGCCCAGAGACAGCACTGTTCTCCCCCATCCCCATTCTCCCTTCATGATCTTCCTTCCTGGTTCACATCGAGGTCCCCACCTGGCGATCTCCTTGGCGACCTTTTCGTTGGGGCAAGTGACAAAGGCTGCAGAGACCGAACCCTGGACGTAGCCGGAGCCCGAAGCCGGTGAGGGCTGCGACGGGTTGCTTCCAGAGGCCATGGACAGCAGAGCTCGGGGTAGCAACAGAAGGCGGGAAGCTACTGGAAGCAGCGCGGGCATCCAAAGAACGGACAGGAGCAGAGCGGCCTGAGAGCAGGGGGCGAATTTGGTCTCTCCCCAAAATACCCCCGGGAAGTGCACCCCAGGAAACCTTCGCTTGAACAGACTCTAAGGCTCTGCCCCCTTCTGCACTCCGAAGGAAAACGTCCCCGAAGCTGGAAGAGAAACCTGGACTAATAAGACTGGGTTTTCGCGCACACCGCAGAGGACAGCCTCTGGGGTCGGTGGTATGGCAGTGGTCTCGGCTTCCAGGACCGGAAGCGGAGGGGCGGGGCCCGTCACTCACCCCTCCGCCGAGCAGGAACGCGGGAGCCCGCCCCCACCTCATGCAGCCTAAGCTGGGCCAGGAGGGCTGATAGCCGAGGCCACACGTTCCACCGAGAAGGGACCCCAAACTCTCCAAGAACGGCCTCTTCTTACCTGGGGGGCGGCCACGTGATAAGAAAACAGAGCTCACCACGTGACAGTAAAGCCCGGCCACCCGACCCTCCAGAGCTGGCCAATCCCGGCCCTCGCGCGGCCCAAGTTGTCCCGCCCCCCGAGGGGGGCGGAGCTGAGGCGAGCTTGGCCAATCGACGGCCGCATCTGCGACGTGCGCGGAAACGGCACGCCCGTTTCCGTGTAAACCCCAGACCGCCAGTTGCTGGCGGAGGAGAGCCGCTGCGGCGTTCCCGCGTCACGTGAGCGGCACCTAGCGAGCGGCGCGGCCAATCGCGGGCCAGCACCGCAGGCCACGTGTGGAGAGACCTGGCGCTAGGGAAGGGGGGCTGGAGACCCCGCAGGCGCGATGCGTCAGGTGGCAGAGTGGAGAATCATCCCGAAACCCCAGAAAGTGCCCCGAAACAGCCCCAGCACTGTGTCCGAGGCCCCGAGGAGCGGGAGGGGCGGAGAAGGCTGAACTTCAGGGAGGGAGGAGAGCGCCCCCTGCGCTTTCAGTTAGGGCTGAGCGGTGCCCGGGCTTGGGAATGAACGAGGATCCAAGAAGCCAGCTGTCCCTGGGTAGGGGGCAGTGACTCGTTAGGCACAGGCATGGCAAGACAATGGCTAGGTGAGGAGAGGTGCATTTTAAAAGTACAGGGTGCAAATGGGATAGAGAATAATGAAAAGGGTGAGGGTGCCTCAGCCCTCCTAAATGAAAACCCAAAGCTTGAGACACTGGTGGACCAGAGGGAAGAGAGACGGCAGGAGGGCTGCAGGTTGGAATAGCGGTGCTCGTCCCCTCTCCCCTGCCCACTCCATCCCCTGGTTGGCTCTCCACCCAGCCAGGGGTCTCTTTTCCTAAACTCCTTCCCCCAGGAGCCAGGCCCTGCCCTACATAACCTCCCTGGGGCCCAAGCACATTCTGTGACCCAAAAATAGAGAGAGGGGCCAATGGGAGGAGAGAAGTGGGAGGAGGCGGCAGAGGAAAGGGCTCTTGCCACTCCCCCTGCCCAGTATCGTCCCCCAGTTCAAGGTCTGGGGCCCCTGGCCCGGTGGTGTGGGTGTGGCTGGCAGGTTCCCAGGCTGTCAGGGTTCTCAGATTTGCCTCACTGGGGTTGGAGAGCTCCCACAGAGTTCAGCCTTTGGAGTCTGCCCCTGAGACACATCTCCGTGGGGGTCTTTCAGTATTTGTGTTGGGATCTTACTCAGGGTTGAGTTCCCTTTTTTGTTTTTTTTTTGGGGGGGGGGGGTGGTTTGGGGGCTTTTGGGGTTCAGAGTTCATG